CATTTCTGTGAAGAATGTCATTGGTATTTTGATGGGGATTGCATTGAATCTGTAGATTACTCCCAATTTATTATATTATGTGTATATATGTGTATATATTCAAATCTTTGTGTATATATATATATATGTATCTTTTTGTTTATGTGTGTACTTTTATGGATATATATTCAAAAGTTCAGCTCAGATTTTAAGTTTCTTTAAAGCAAGGAAGGCCTATGAAATTGTAACATTTTTGAAGCCAACCTCCAGTAGAATGATTGCATAGCTGGGGCACAACTAATGAGCAAAAGATATAATAATTGTGCCAGTCAGTGACAGAACCTCCATCTTATTGTTCTTAGTTGATTGACTCAGTACAGAACTGATTTCTGCAATAATTTTTTTTTAAATGTGTTATGGAAAACACATTTATGTATGCAAATGCTTGCTAGCATCAATTTGTTTCTGATTTAGCTTCTTCCCTTCCCAGGCAGTATATGATGCTGGTCCCCTTTCTGCTCCACACTGTGACCCCTGAGAAGGGCTGCCTCCTTCTGAGCCACCTGAATGAGACAGTGACAGTCAGTGCTTCCTTGGAGTCTGTCAGGGGGAACAGGAGCCTCTTCACTGAGCTGGTCGTGGAGCAGGATTTATTCCGCTGCGTCTCCTTCACTGTGAGTACTAGAGTACTAGTTGCTTGTTCCTCTTTTATACGTTATATTTCGTTCTATTGGTGATGGAGATCTGGTGTTCAGTCCCAAGAAATGACTTTAAGGATGTATGTAGGAATTCAGAAAAAAAGTAAAGACTTTTTCAGCTACTAATGAACAAAGCATGTATTTTCCACCAGAGCAGAGGAAAAAATATTTTTCTAAATGCCAAAGTTCAATTTAGTTCTTAATAAAAATTCTATTGCCCAAGAAAGTAGTATGATTTGGAGGAGTTTTCCAGCTTTGATATTAACTATCTCTTTAAGGCCAGAGTTTGATGTTGCCTAGAAACAGATTATGCAAAAATCTCATTATGAGAAAAATCTGCCTGCAGCAAAATTTTTTTTTCTTATGGTGGGATGTTAGATGTCTATGGTCTTCTAAATATGTAAATGTGTAAAATACTCCAAACAAACATCCAGTACCCCTATGAGGCTGCCTAACGTTGGATCCTAAGCTCCTGTATTTTCCCATATTTTTTCAGAGATGCTTCTCTCCATCTCTTCAGAAAGTATATACTCAGTTAAAAGGAATACGATTTAACAGCTAGAGCTCTAGGGGAGCTACATGGAGGTTTGAGTTCCATTAATGGCTGCTCTTATTGATAACTTCACTTTTACATCTAGTGAGATATTTGTACCCTCCTAGCTTCTTAGTGAAGCTGGGGGAGAGATAGTAAGCAGTAATGGATGGATAGTTCAGAGGGAGAAGACTGGATAGTTACTCAGTACTAAAAAAAAAAAAAATCCTTTTTTTTTAGCTCCCAAGGATCTCATCCCCATCAGAGGTGGCATTCCTCACTGTCCAGATAAAGCGACCTACACGAGATTTCAGGAAAAGGAACACAGTGCTGGTAAAGAACGCTCACAGTCAGATCTTTGTCCAGACCGACGAACCCATCTATGAGCCAGGACAGACAGGTACGTAGGGAAATTCCACTGGCTGGGGCAACAGTGGGAAGGAAGGACCACCTGCTTGGCCCATTTTCCAGCCAAAGTCACCATTACTCCCATCCCTTCGCCTCCTGTCTTCCTACCCAGATTGCTTGCTTTATCAGGTCTAAATCTCATCAGAGGATTTCTTTTTTGGTAAGATTCCATGTTGTCTCCATGGATGAAAATTTTCACCCCCAAAATGAACTGGTAAGCATCTAGTAGCTATGGTTTGGGTAGGAGTTTGGTGGAAATACTCTCTCAGAATAAAGCAGGAAGATCTAGCAAAAGCAAAAAGACAAAAGAACATTCCTTTTGGGAGCTGGCTCCAGCCTCACCACAGGTCTAGAGGGTTAACAGGCAAAATTGAGGGACAGGAAATGAAAAAGTCCTTTCTCATATAACCGTAGTTAATCAGTCCGGCAGTAGTCAGCCACATGCATTGCCCTGAACACACTGTACTAAGAGTAATGAGGAGACACAAGAAAAAAGTTAGGTGCTATTTGTATTCATACTCTCAATGAGTTTATGATTGAGAAAACACCGAAGGGCTTTACTTCTTCTGAACATGCATGCATGTATAATAGAAAATATTATAATTTTATTATGTAATATATATTTATGACATATAGAATATTTGTAATATATACATACTTATTTTATGCTAATTGAGTGTTCCTTCTTCCAACTATCCTTCAATATTAAGATAAAGAAAAAAAAGCTGCTTTTAAAAAGTAGATAATAGACAATGTTGACACTAGAAGAAATATTCTTGGTTTACTTTTATCCAAATAAGTCTAGTATTTCTCTTCCTGTTGGGTCTAAATTATTATGACACATAATTCTATTAATATCTATTTCCTAATTTGTGAAAGTAAACAGCATAGCTATATTCTTCACTAGGAGGATTTAAGTATCCAAATGATATTGTTGATGAATAATATTAATAAATATCATTTTAAAATAATTTTTCAAAAATGTTTTTTCAGGGAAGTGGCAGCAGTTGGTATACTGAAAAATGCACCTAACATTTCAGGGTTTTATTTTGGAAAAAAGTTATAGACGTTTTGAAAATATTTGTATTTCCAGTAAATATTTCCAACCTCCCTTATTTCCATTATCTCTATTAGCAGTGCTTCCCAAATTGTAGGTCAAAGTTCATGTGCCAAAGATAATCAGTATCCTGGATGAAAAAGTGCACATGTTAGTATGTGGGATGTGAGTTAAATTGTTTTTGTCTAAAAATTTATGTTTTGTCTCAATTTTGAATTATTATTTAGCTAGGTACAAAATTATAAAATAAAAACTATTTTCTCTCAGCACTTTTGTAATATCCCACTGATTTCTCTTTATTTCACTGCTTATTATTAAAATTTTCAAATATACAGAAGAATAAAGAGTAAAGACTTTTTCAGCTACTAATGAACAAAGCATGTATTTTCCACCAGAGCAGAGGAAAAAATATTTTTCTAAATGCCAAAGTTCAATTTAGTTCTTAATAAAAATTCTATTGCCCAAGAAAGTAGTATGATTTGGAGGAGTTTTCCAGCTTTGATATTAACTATCTCTTTAAGGCCAGAGTTTGATGTTGCCTAGAAACAGATTATGCAAAAATCTCATTATGAGAAAAATCTGCCTGCAGCAAAATTTTTTTTTCTTATGGTGGGATGTTAGATGTCTATGGTCTTCTAAATATGTAAATGTGTAAAATACTCCAAACAAACATCCAGTACCCCTATGAGGCTGCCTAACGTTGGATCCTAAGCTCCTGTATTTTCCCATATTTTTTCAGAGATGCTTCTCTCCATCTCTTCAGAAAGTATATACTCAGTTAAAAGGAATACGATTTAACAGCTAGAGCTCTAGGGGAGCTACATGGAGGTTTGAGTTCCATTAATGGCTGCTCTTATTGATAAATCATGACATTTTCCCCTGGATGCAGTAGTAATACACTTGTAAAAGAAATATACATTCTCCCACTTACCATGATATCATTATCACACTTAACACAATTACATGTAAATTTTCTATACCTATTTCAAGTTTGCAGCCAAATATTCTGAATTATCTTAAAAATGTCTCAAAGATCTGGATGCTTACACGTTGTTTTTGGTTATTATGATTCATAAGTACCCTTTTTTCCAACTCTCTACAATGGAAATTTTCAACCAAGTGCAAAAATTAACAAAGTAGTAAGATAAAACCTTATGCACCTATCACCTATTACAAAAATTATAAAATTTGCCTATTTTTTGTTCCATTTACTACTCCTACAGCATTTTCCTTTTGCTCTAATATTTTAGAGCAAGTCATAGGAATCAAAATATCTTAAAGTTTTTAAAATCTACAACATTTTCTCCCCCTGACGTTAATTTATTGAAGTAAGTCTGTTGGCCTGTAAATGTCCCGCTTGCTGGATCTGCCTGCTCACTTCCTCATGGAACATTAAATTAATTATGTTTAATTTTTCCTATGGGCAATTTTAAGAGGATACTTTGATTACATAGCTCCTCTTGGTGGCAGCGACAGAGCAAATTGTTTAATGACCTAAAATAATCTCTCCCCCCAAATTTTTTACTCTAGACAATTTTGCTTTCTTCTTTTCCTTTTGTGTATACCATAAATATTAATTCTGTCATTTAAAAAAAAAGGAAGCAGAGTTAAAATGTGATAGGAAAGTCTAAAGATCACAACTTGAAATTCCTGGACAAAAGCCAATAATTAGGATTTTATAAAAGTGACTTAAGCATAATGTATATGATCCAGTGACTGATATGATTATAAACAGTAGTAGACTCAGAATTGACAGTCATAAGTATGCATCCCCTACCAATAACTCACTATGCTATTTAAATATGCTGCTGCTCCTCTGAGCCTTCATCTCTTCAGCAGTAAGTTGAGGGAGTAGACATTATCTATGAGGTTCCCTTCCACGTTTACCTGTTGTGATTACATGGAACTCCTACAGTTCCCTTTAATCTTGACTATGAAAACTCATTTCCTACGAGCAAGAATAGCAGAAGGTGCACACAGAGTAAAGAAATAAACCGGCCTCAATATTATATACTGGAAACACCAAAACACCCAGGCCTCTGCCTCAATTCTGTCTCGACATAATTGTCACGGAATTATCTAGCTAATCCTGGGGCAGATAACTATATCTTGAAGAAGGATTTCAAAATAAGTTGTTCTGATTCTGTTTTTTTTATTTCAAGTGATATCAGAGGCAATTGCAAATGAGGGGAGAAACAAGTATCTAAAGCAAAATAATGATCAATTTTTCCATTTTTATTAAATGAGAGAAAGAACTATATATGTATAGTGTGTACATGCACACTCAACCCCACAAATTACCCCATGATACTTGTAGGATTCTTTCTCTCTCTCTCTATATATATATATATATGTGCGTGTGTGTGTGTGTGCGTGTGTGTGTGTGTGTGCTTATGTGTATATGCTGTAATTGTATTGGGGCTCTCTATATATATATATATATGTGCGTGTGTGTGTGTGCGTGTGTGTGTGTGTGTGCTTATGTGTATATGCTGTAATTGTATTGGGGAACATATTCACACCAAAATGTTCACAGTGATTATCTTCTTTGTTTGCTTATTTTTTATTTATTCTTATTCTTTTTATCATCAGGATTTGCTCTTTTGGTATACAGAATAACTTTTGGTTTTATAAAAACAAAATAAAAAGAATGGTAAAAATAACTAGACTAAAAAGAAGACATTTTTTTAAATCCCAAAGGGAATATGGTGGTACAGTGCAGTAAAGTTTCAAACATTTTCAAGGATAATATTTCTCAAGGGAGATACTTTCCAGACATGCTTCTACTTGGTATGAGCCCAGATGTTAAAGATGTGCGGGAAACTGTAGAGAGTAACTGTTCTGTGGAGGGTTGGTAGTGAGTAATGCAGATAGCTTTCTTCAATTCCTGATTTATTTCTCATGTGACAGATACACCTACAGGAAGACTGTCCCAGTACTTGCAATGGTGAGCATGTGCAGAAAAGTACTTCATGTTCCTACCTGTCACAAGCAAGAGTTCTGTGAGAAATTCAGCCAACAGGTTAGTATGCAGTGTTCTGTCTGGTGCTGTCACCTAGTGATACAACCAGTGAGATGCCCCATTTCACCAAGGGGACATCAGGGAAAACTTGCCTCAAAATATACTCCAACAAAAAAAGGAATTTCTCTTATTAGTCAACAAGATTCTAATCTGGATGACTAACCCTGGAAATTACAAAGAAAATAATGAATATTAAGTTCTTGAAGGTCGATTAGCATGTTTAACCCAAAGAAGTTGCCTTGGCCTCAGAAAGGGGATATTAGATTTATTGACTGTTAATTTTAATCAATAGGACATTTATTGTTTTTTTGTATTCTTCTCAGCTCAACGGTAATGGCTGCATCACCCAACAAGTAAAAACAAATTTGCTCCAGACTAAAAATATGGGCTATGAGATGAAACTTAGAGTGGAAGCCAAGATCAGAGAAGAGAGAACAGGTTTAAGTACTAAATGAATATGAGAGATAAAACAATAAACACTGATTTATTTTCCATAACAAAATAAGAGTCATTTGTAGGAAAGAAATTTTAAGACTAAAGTAATTTCCAAGAGTAGTTACTCTTTTCTATATATTTTTCAGACCTGACATTTACTGGAAATGGGACCAGTGAAGTCACAAACATTGTAACCAAACTCATATTTGTGAAAGCAGATTCACACTTTAGACGAGGAATCCCCTTTTTGGACAGGTAAAGTGTATTGTAATTCACAGGTAAGCGAAGTGTTCAGTTGTACCTAAGACCAGGCCACACACCTGGTTAGTGTTATCAATTAATTAATTCTACCCAAATCATAAAACCAAGAACTAGATACTTTCCTTCCTAAATATCACTGATGAAATGTACAAACTCATACTAAAGTATTAGGAAAATCAGATACTATTTTTTTAATATGTTGTTAATAAAGATGCTTAATGTAATATGACTGTTATTAAATCAAATCTTTTTCCTCTCACCATTTTAGTATAAATAAATGATATTTCTGTCATTATCCAGCCAGAATCTGAATTTTCACAGTTTCTCACAAATGACTACCAATTTCTGGTTGTCAGTGTCCTTCTTTATATCTGTTGTTCTATTTAGAAATAAGTAAATGATTGGTTTTAATTTTAGGAATAGGTATTATAGTAATGTGCATTTCATAGTTATTATTATTGTGTTGTTTTTCATGTTTAAGGTATATATCTTAAGAATAATTAAAAAAAAGAAAAATATTGATTTTATTCATATTAATAATTAATTTTACTAGTTTTATAATTATTAAATTTTCCTCAAAGCAAACATTCTCATGTGGATTTTGTAGGTGGTTTGTTCAGAAAGTAATAATAATAAAGTTATTAAGTAACAATTATGGAATAATTACTATGAGCCAGATATCCTCTAGTGCATTTTAAATGGATTATCTTAATCATTAATACTTCCATATGAAGGAGGCACTGCTATTATCTCCATTGTAACAAATGTGGAAAATTGAAGCTCAGAGAAGTAACTTGTTTAGCTGGTGGAGTTCGGTACACAAGCAAGCATTCTAGCCTCCATCCAGTTGAAAAGTTCACCTAAAACAGTTTAGCTTCACTTCTGTTAATTTGACTCTAGGTGTGCATTAAGTGACACATTGTAATTCTTAACAACTTCCCTTATCTTAATGGAAACACTGCTTAGTATCAAAAGTAGACAAGCTATATAAGGATCCAAATGGAAGGAAACATTTTGTAGTAAATATAAAAGGGTTTTTTTTTTTTTTTTTTTTTTTTTTTTTTTTTTTTTGGGG